GTATGGAAATGCTACTAATATTTGTATGTTAATTTTATATCCTGAAACCTTATTGCATTTGTTTATTAGTTGTAATAGTCTTTGGTGTGGAGTCTTTAGGGTTTTGAATATTTAAGATCATGTCATCTGCAAACAGACAATTTTACATCTTCCTTCCCAGTGTGGATGCCTTTTCTTTCTTTCTCTTGCCTAATTGCTCTGGCTAGGACTTCCAGTACTATACTGAATAGTAGTTGTAAGACTGGACATCCTTGAGGCCGGGTGCGGTGGCTCATGCCTGTAATCCCAGAACTTTGGGAGGATGATGCCAGTAGATCACAAGGTCAGGGGAAGGAGACCATCATGGCTAATATGGTGAAACGCCGTCTCTATTAAAAATACAAAAAAATTAGCCAGGCATGGTGGCATGTGCCTGTAGTTCCAGCTACTTGGGAGGCTGAGGCAGGAGAATCGCTTGAATCCGGGGGGCGGAGGTTGTAGTGAGCCAAGATTGCGCCATTGCACTCCAGCCTGAGTGACAGAGCGAGACTTCATCTCAAAAAAGAAAAAAAAAAAAAAAAGAGTGGGCATCCTTGTCATGTTCCTATGATTTAGCTATGACTTTAGAGTTTAGAGCGGGTACTAAATGTATTAAGATTCTTGTGGCTTTTGAGATGGAAAGAATGTATTTGCATTCAAGAGTGCATGAGTTTTGGGTGCTAGGAATGGAAGGCTATGAAATGAATTCTGTTTCCCCAGAATTCATAGGTTGAATCTCTAACCTGTAATGTGACTGTATTAGAAACAGAACCTGTAAGGAGGTGATTAAGGTTAAATAAGGTCATGAAGGGAGGGTCCTGGTCTCTTTGGATTAGTGCCCTTACAGGGAGAGACACAAGAGAGCCTGCCCTCTCTCTGCCCAGAAAGAAGAGGTTATATGAGCAAACAGGGAGATGGTGGCTGCCTACAAGCCAGGAAGAAAGGCCTCACCAGAAACTATGTTGGCAGTTATCTCAGACTTACAGCCTCCAGAATTGTAAGAAAATAAATGTCTGTGGTTGAAGTTAGTCTATGGTACTTTGTTGTGGCAGCCTGAGTACAGACTAATATATCACACAAGTGCCACACATACGTGCTGTACCTGCTATGCAAGTGCATATGACACTCAGGAGTTGCACATATACATATATGCATGTTAAATGTATGTGATACACCATGTTTTATATAATGCATGTCTTCTCTCCCCCCTTCTTTATTTAGCTATCTATAAACATACATACATAGATTGAGAGAGAGCAAAGAAGCCCTGATCTCCATGCCCGAGAATTAGCTTAACTCCATTCTGTGACCTCATACTCAAGCCCTCACCCTGGTCATATGCCAATGCCAGTGATCCATGCCTTTGACCCTAGGGCAGCTAAGTTATAGCTAAGTCATAAAACTTAGGAATACAATACTGAAAAAAAAAATCTTACATAGGTCAGCAGCACCATCTGTACCTAAAACAGCTGTCTATAAATAATTTTGTTACCATAAAGGTCTTAATTGTAATAAGAATATTTATACCTGCTCTAAGTAATGTATATTTCTAGCTTTTAAAAAGGAATAACTTTTTAAAATGTTTTGTTAACTCACCTTGTCACAGATCCATTTCTTAGGATTTTCACTTCGGAATTGTTCTTTGTGAGAAATAGGACAATACTTGCTTGATAAATGCATTGATGGGATGTACTTTTCATTTTTATGGTATGAAGAAAATGGCAAAAACCTGAAAGAAATATTTAGGAGCTATTCTTAACTTCATTTTTAGAGACACTTGATTTTTAAAATAAGGCTTTGGAGAAGTACTATAGTACAGTGAAAATAATACATGATTTAGAATCAGAATACCTAGATTCCATTTCAACCTCTGCCATTGATTACCTGTGTTGATTACTTCTATTAATCTTTATTTTCTATTCTGCAAATGGAGATACTAAAATGTTCTTCACAGAATTTTTGTGAGTCTCAAGTGTTTTATATAGAGATAATGCTAAATAATACATTTATGAATTAATTATGCCAAAAAACTCAAAATTCATCATATAAATGAAAATGTTCTTAATTTTAAAATATTATCCCTAAATCAAAAGGACATCCAGTACAGTCAATTCTCATTGAAGTAGGCTTTCTTCAATTTTAAGTCACTTGAATAATGGTGGCATTATTGGTAGCAGTAGCAGTTACGAATAATGGGGCCTTCAAGTTAGCCAGACCTGTAGTCGCACCTTAGCTTTGCTTTGCTAGCTGTATTACCCTATGCAAGTTACCTGAATGAGCCTTGACTTCCATATAGGGTTATTACAATGAATGAACAACTTAATTTATGTAAGGTATTTAACATGGAGGCTGAAAAGATTGTGTCCAATAAATAATGTCGGTGCTAAAAGCAGATGTAAAAATCGAAGGAACCTGTTGCAGCAACCATTATCATTATCATCATCATTATTACTTTAGATATTTTTATGATCAACAGAAAAGACCAAACTTTTAAAACCCATATAAACTCGCACAGAACATCTAAGATTGTGATATGCTTTTAGTGTAACCCAGATCCCTCACCAAAACACACTGAAATAAGAGTAAAGAAATTTTTTTAAAAAGTTATAAACCTATAAGAAGAAATAGGACAGAAAATAAGAAAGAGCAATTGAAAACACTGATTAATTTTTAGCAGGTGGAAGGAAGATAGAAAATTCATAAATGACACAAAAGAGTTAAGAAAACTGAAATCTAGGTGCCAGAAGAATGAGATGTCAAAGAGAAACAGGGCAATTTGTCCTGCAGAACCAGGGAAAAGCTCGGGAAATAAATCTACAATTATTCCAGAAAGTGAGAGAAGGAATGAAGCTGAAATCAGCTGAAAGCTTATGTAAGGAGTAATGAAATCCCCAGGTCCATGTCCCAGTCCATGTATCCATAAAAGCGTATTCTCAGAAAAAATTTACACCAAAAAGCTCTAGTCTCAAGGAAAGCATGTACTGAGGAAGGCTAAGGGGAGGCACCAAATGGAATATGTAGATTTTAATCCAAAGACTGGCCATTGAACTCTTTCCTTGCTCGTCTCTTAAGTGCACTGGCAGCTTGGACTTATATCCTTCAGAAGACTGATTGCATCTTCTGAAAAGATATGACAGTTCTTAGAGAAACGAGTTCAAATATCAACAATTTGGGGATGTTTTAATTAAAAGGGTGTATCAGAGTATAATAAAATCTATCAAAAAGCCACTCTTTTACACCCATAGAGTTTCTAATCTAATTTTTACATTTTCCCTTTTAATATAAACTTAAGAATGGTTTACCAGTGGGAAAATAACCAATGTGGAAGAAGGACACAAATCTAAACATAAGGAATAAACTAGAGGAAACAGACATCATGATGCAGCAAAAAGGAGTAAATTCAGAAATTTTTAACACATATAATCAAAGGAGATACGGTATTAATGAAATAAAAGTTGGAAGGTTTTTTAAATAAAAGAAACATTTAGAGAAAAGTGGAAGCTCTGGGAAATAGAAACTATATATAGCAAAATAAAATATTCTTCTAAGAAAAATATTCTGAAATTCAGACTTTAAAAAAAAGTTGAGGTTCAACATATATTTATTGAGCCATTACTATATGCCAACATTTTCATATAGATGATCTCATTTAGTTAAGATAAAGAAAGGTGTTTTTAAAAATCTAAATTCAACTGAAAATTATTATTTTTGTCATTTAATAAACAGAAAAAGTAGCATTCTTTCATCAATTTTAACACTTCTCTGCAATTTCTTTTTAATATTTATTTAAAAATTCTTAATATTTTCCAAAGAAAGTATTTTCTAACACTATTTAAAATAAAAAATAAACAGAATACAGAACTTTGAATTATACAAAGTTACAGAAGCATGTATTACATATGCACTTGGGAAAAGAGCTCTCATATAAGATAGATTATGGTCCTTCCAGTGCTAATTTGCACATGGGATGGACATCAAACATAAAAAAATTAATGTGGCCCCGATGTCCCTGAGTATACAAAGGAGGTGCTGTGAGCCGGCTGCTGCACTTCCAGTTTTTATCACTTCTGAATTGCATTTTAATAGTACATTTTTCTTTTGTGTCTGAACAAAATTTGCCTTCTCAAGGGAATGGATGGCTGAAACAAGGCTGGAAGACTGGGTACTTCCCTGCTCATGAATTAACTCTACTTTCATTTAGCCATCATGTTTCATGAAAGTAACACATATGCATATTCTTAATTGTACATATATATGTGCATGTATGTATATTCAAAAATATTTAGATATTTTATAATCTTTAAATAACATTTATCTTCAAATTAGGAAAAAATATTTAATTCACAAATCAGATTTGCTCTATAAAGTATAAATAGCTACTAACATTGAAAAAGTCACTTTAGTTTATAATAAAATTTTATATGGTTATCAATTACTTTAAAACTATGTTCTTTTACCAGTTTTTAATATGTATTCAGTTGTGCTCATACTTAGAGTGAGTACTTTTCAATCAACTAAACTTCATGTTAAAGAAAAGTAATACATGTATTTACCTGTTTTTTTTTAACAATCTTATCAAAGACATAGATCTGGCAAAAATTCTTGAAAGCAATGTAGGGATACAGTAGTATATACAAACAAGTAACAACTTGAATGTCTGGGCAGTTACGGAAGAATTGGTAGAGGTCTCAGGAAGTAAAAATTAAAAATAGTTAATTAGCTTCCAGGAAAATAGGTCCATTGTAAATATATTATAGTCTTTGTACACTGAGTACATGTAATATTATTTTATCATTATATACATATATATATTTTCCAAATAAAGACACTAACAAATGACATTTATTGTTTTTCTGCCTTATAACTCTCTTTAATTTTTCACCTTTTATTAAAGTCCTACTATTGTTACACATAACTCTAGGTTTTCCATCAGTGCATTTATTTCACTGTCAGATAATTGAAATCTTCAAATTATGAACCTCTTTTGCCTATTGAATCAAGCCTAAATTCTCCAATCTAGCCTTCAGGCTTTTTCTAATGCACTTGATCTCTTCAGGCTGTTCAACCACTCCCTACCTGCTGTTCTCTTGATGTCATTTGCCTTTCTTCTCCCATCCTACCTCTATGCCTTTGTTCATGCTCTTCCTCCTGAAATGCTGATCCATGCACTACTCCTCTTTCAAAATCCACTTTAACATCCAGCTGTCCCAGCTGCCTAATCTACCACTCAAACTAACACTGATTTCTCTATTATCTAAATATTTATTCATTGAACATTTTTTTGAGATGGTGCAATTTCGGCTCAAGGCAACCTCTGCATACCAGGTTCAAGCGATTCTCCTGCCTCAGCCTCCCGAGTAGCTGGGACTACAGGCACACGTCACCATGCCCAGCTAATTTTTGTATTTTTAGTAGAGACGAGGTGTCACCATGTTGGCCAGGATGGTCTCTATCTCTTGACCTCGTGATCAGCCCTCCTCGGCCTCCCAAAGTGCTGGGATTACAGGCGTGAGTCACCGCACCCTGCCTCATGGACCAACTCTTAAATGAAATAAATTTATGTACTAGGCACTTTGAAAAATACAGGGCTGGTCAGGGTGGCTCATGCCTGTAATCCTAGCACTTTGGGAAGCCAAGGTGGGAGGATTGCTTGAGGCCAGGAGATCAACATCAGCCTGGGCAACAAAGTATGAACTCTTCTTTAATAAAAATTTTTAAAAATTAACCAGGCGTGGTGTTGTGCACCTATAGTCCCAGCTACTTGGGAGGCTAAGGCAGGAGGATTGCTTGAGCCTGGAGGTTGAGGCTGCAGTAAGCCGAGATTGTGCCACTGCACTCCAGCCTGGGTGACAGTGAGACCTTGTCTCAAAAAAATTTAAAAAAAGAAGAAAAGAAAAATACAGTGGTATAAAGATGGAAGATGCAGTATACCTGAAAGGAATTCACCTTCTAGTAGCGGTATAAAATGGGACAATAAACACAAGTAGAATGTGATAAGTTTTGTGATAGATGTATGGACAAGAGTCAATTAATGCAAAGAGGAAGATTTGCGTTTGCATAAACATGTGTGTGTGTGAGGGTATAGGGAATTATTGGCAGGGAAATGGAGGGTGGGGCATGGAAAAATTATCTTCCCAGACCACGTATGCCAGAACTGAGTGTTGAAAGGCTAGTAGAGTTCAAGTTAAGAATCTGGTGAAGCTATTTAAGGTGGGAAAAACGACATAAGCAAATATATGTAGGTGAGTTAGAGCATAAAACGGAATGCTGAAGAAACTGAAAAGCATTCGACATAGTCAGAAAATTAGATTCTTGTGAAGGCAACAAAGTAGATCATGAACAGCCTTAGTGGAAATAAGATTGTCCGTGAAAACAATCCATGGAGGCTGGGCGTGGTGACTCACAGCTGTAATCCCAGAACTTTGGGAGACCAAGGCGATGAGGTCAGAAGTTTGAGACCAGCGTGGCCAACATAGCAAAACCCCATTTCTACTAAAAATACAAAAATTAGCCAGGCATGATGGCAGGTACTTGTAATCCCAGCTACTCGGGAGGCTGAGGCAGGGAGAATTACTTGAACCCAGGAGGCAGAGGTTGCAGTGAGCCGAGACTGCCCTGCTGCACTCTCACCTGGGTGACAAGAGAGAAACTCCGTCTCATACACACACAAACACATACACAAAAGACAGTCCATTGACAATAATATATTACAGATTGATATAAACGGTA